GAATAGTTTGAATAGTTTGGGGGTCCGAACTGGGGCCCTAAACTATTCAAACTATTCAAACCCTGGCGGGGGGGGGTCCGGCCTGGGGCCCTAAACTATTCAAACTATTCAAACTATTCAAACTATTCAAACTATTCAAACTATTCAAACTATTCAAACTATTCAAACTATTCAAACCCTGGGGGTTTGAATAGTTTGAATAGTTTGGAGGGTCCGGCCTGGGGCCCTAAACTATCCAAACTATTCAAACTATTCAAACCCTGGGGGTTTGAATAGTTTGAATAGTTTGAATAGTTTGAATAGTTTGAATAGTTTGAATAGTTTGAATAGTTTTGGGGGGTCCCCGGGAGGAGAGGGGGGGGGGGTTTGAATAGTTTGGGGGTCCGGCCTGGGGCCCTAAACTATTCAAACTATTCAAGCTATTCAAGCTATTCAAGCCCGGGGGTTTGAATAGTTTGAATAGTTTGAATAGTTTGAATAGTTTGAATAGTTTGAATAGTTTGAACAGTTTGAATAGTTTGAATAGTTTGAATATTTTGAATAGTTTGAATAGTTTTGGGGGGTCCCTGGGAGGAGAAGGGGGGGAGGTTAGAATAGTTTGAATAGTTTGAATAGTTTAGGGGGGTCCCTGGGAGGAGAGGGGAGGGGTTTGAACAGTTTGAATTTGAATAGTTTGGGGGCCCGGCCTGGGGCCCCAAACTATTCAAACTATTCAATCTATTCAAACTATTCAAACTACTGAAACCCCCGGTTGGCCTCAATGGGGAGAAATTAGAAAAAAAAACCAGATGCGCGACGCCCGGTGTCACAGGGTAAGTATTGGTGATTTCTGGGAATTTTACGCCTTCAAAGTCCCCATCCAATGGCCTGATGCGCGACGCCCGGTGTTGCAGGGTGGATATTTTCGTAGATATTTTCGCGACGCCCGGTGTTACAGGGTATGTATCTGTGATCTCAATTGGTATGTTGCGCCTTCAAAGTCCCTATCCAATGGCCTAATGCGCGACGCCCGCTGTGACAGGGCAGATATTTTCGCGACGCCTGGTGTAACAGGGTAGATATCTTCGCGACGCCCGGTGTGACAGGGTAGATATTTTCGCGACGCCCGGTGTTACAGGGTGGATATGTTTGCGGATATTTTCGCGACATTGCCGCGTTTGGAGGCTGTGGAAACCACACAAATGTTGATCATTTATTGCTTGCACAAACCCTCAATCTACGGCCAAAAACATAGGGATTTTGGCTAGTTTGGCGGCCTTGGAAACCACCCAAATTCCAATTATTAGTGATTTTGACCATTTTTTGCTTTCACAAACCCTCAATCTACGGCCAAAACATAGGGATTTTGGCTAGTTTGGCGGCCCTGGAAACCACCCAAATGGCATTCTTAGTGATTGTTGATCAGTTTTGGCCTTCACAAAGCCTCAACTTAGGGCAAAAACATAGGGATTTCGGCTAGTTTGGCGGCCTGGGAAACCACCCAAATGGTATTGTTTTGTGATTTTGTGCAATTTTTGGCCTTCACAAACCCTCAATCTAGAGCCAAAACATATGAATTTTGGCTAATTTGGCGACTTTGGAAACCACCGAAATGGCAATTTTTAGTGATTTTTGACCATTTTGGCGTTCACAAATCCTCAACCTAAGGCCAAAACATAGGGATTTGGGCTCATTTGGCAGCCTTGAAAACTCTCCAATTTGCAATTTTAGTGATTTTTTGCAATTCTTGGCTTTCACAAACCCTAATCTAGCACCAACACATAGGGATTTTGGCTAGTTTGGCGGCCTTGGAAACCACCCAAATGGCATTTTTTTGTGATTTTGGGCAATTACCCCCCCCCAACCCTTTTCGAGGGGTTGAAAAAATGCCGAAAAAGCAGGCGTTTTCAGGAAAAATTCAGCCAAAAGCAAAACAACGTACAAAACTCCGGACACGAACCCTATACAATTTCTATGTAGATATTTTCGCGACGCCATCCAGCCCTCTCCAGCCCTCCAGCCCCACACTCCTTCGAGTCTTCAAAACAGCCTTCGGCTGGAGGCTGAGGGTTTAGGGTTTAGGGTTTGAGGGTTTAGGGTTTGAGGGTTTAGGGCTTAGGGTGTGGTGCCTGGAGGGCTGAAAGGGCTGAACGGGCTGGAGGGGTTGGGTTGGAGCGGCTGGTTGAGATTCAGCCGGTCACAGGCTGCGATAACCCGCTCCAGCTGCGTGGCAAGGAGGACCTCGGTAGGGTTTAAAGCTTAGGGTCTCGGGTTTAGAGTCTTGGGTCTAGGGCCTGAAGGGTGACGTCGGGGAGCTGCCCCTAAACCCTAAACCCTAAACCCTAAACCCTAAACCCTAAACCCTAAACCCTAAACCCTAAACCCTTAAACCTAAACCCTAAAGGGTTGTTTGGGGCGTTTGGGGTACAGAGGCCACCCAAAGGGCGTTGTCCGTGGTCTGCGACGGCGGAATTCGGGAGATGGCCCACTCCTAGGTTTAGGGTTTAGGGTTTAGGGTTTAGGGTTTAGGGTTTAGGGTTTAGGGTTTAGGGTTTAGGGTTTAGGGTTTAGGGTTTAGGGTTTAGGGTTTAGGGTTTAGGGTTTAGGGTGGATCTGCACCAGGCTGTGAGATGCAGGCGTTTGCGGGTTTGGGGGTTTAGGGGTTTGGGGGTTTAGGGTTTAGGGTTTAGGGTTTAGGGTTTAGGGTTTAGGGTTTATAGGGTTCAGGGTTCAGGGTTCGGGGTTCAGGGTTTAGGGTTTAGGGTTTAGTTAGGGTCCACGAAAGCAGACAGGCAGAGATAACGGAGGTATCAAGAGGAATCCATCCCGACCATCTTGACACAGTGCGGAAGGGCTCAAGAGCCTTCGAGGATCCGTCTAAGTCATAAGGCGGTACCGAACGCGAAAAGCCCGGGGTCCAGGGAGATCCGGTACTGCTCCAGCACGGATCGACCCAGGAGCTCGCCGTGGTCGCCACTCGCCGCCCACCCGGCCTGGGGGAGGGGTGCGTAGGGCTTGAGAAGCTTCCAAAGCTTGCAAGGGCTTTCAGAGGCTTGGGAAGGCTTGGGGTCTTGGGGTGTAGGGGCGCTTTCAGAATTAGGGGGGCTGCGGGCTCGTGTTGTTGCTTGATGATCAGGGTTGCCTCCTCCCAGGAAGCCCTACAGCCCTACAACCCTCTCCCTTTGGGAGGTTCCCCCGTATACTAACAGCTCCTTAAGAGGGATTAGTAGGGGGTACTATACTCCCGATTAAGGACTTTTTGCTCTAAGGGGGAGCATCCCAACCTCCTCCCTTCAACCCTCAACCCCTTCTTCCCGCAATACCTCTCTAGGCTGTAACGGCAATTGCCCTTCGTTGTAGTATTCGTCTTCCTGAAACAACCCTCCAAGCCTTGAAACCCTGAACCCCTAAACCTTCTCTTGGGGGCGCAAGGTTTGGGTCTTTCTGCCCTGCGTCCTCCGCCTGCCCGGCCGCAAACCAAGCACACGTGAGCAGGTGAACGCCGATCATGCCTGCTTGCTTGCAGGGTTCAGGGGCCTGATACCTTCACCCCCCCCGAAAAAAACGAAGCCCAACGAGATTAGGCAGTAGGGCGACTTCCAGCCCCTAAACCCTAAACCCCAAACCCTAAACCCTAAACCCTAAACCCCAAACCCTAAACCCTAAACCCTAAACCCCAACACCCTTGCGGAGAGCAAAGTCCAAGATGCAGGCCACCAGGGTGTAGAAGATGTTCGGGGCGGCCTTGAAAACCGCCCAAACGGCATTTCTTTGTGTTTTTTGACCATTTTTTTGCTTTCACAAACCCTCAAGCCAGGGCCAAAACATAGGGATTTTGGCTAGTTTTGCGGCCTTGGAAACCACCCAAATTCCAAAAATCATTTTCGTGATTTTTGACCATTTTTTGCTTTCACAAACCCTCAATCTACGGCCAAAACATAGGGATTTTGGCTAGTTTGGCGGCCCTGGAAACCACCCCAATGGCATTTTTTAGTGATTTTTGATCATTTTTTGCCTTCACGAAGCCTCAATCTAGGGCCAAAACATAGGTTCGCGACGCCCTATGAAAAATTGATGATGTTTGTATTCCTCTCTTACCACGCATGTGTAAAACGTTCCCATATAGAGACATAGCTAATAGTGGCGGCGATAAAGACAAGAAAGTTCTATTACTGTTAATAATTGCAAACGCTTGCGCGCGCCGCCTCGGCAGCTGGTCCGGCCTGCAGCGGGGCGCAGCGTCTGTTCCAGGGCTCTCCCAGGAAGGTTCAAGGACAGTCCCAGGCGAACACCAGAAATGGTGCCAAGAAAGTGTCCCAGGGAGGTTTTAGAGGGTTGCAGCGCCTCCAAGTGGTTTTGGCAGGTCCTACAGGGCGGGAGGAGGGGGGTGAGTCAGAGATTTCGGGAAAGAGGGAAGGAAACCAGGTCATGGTCTGCTTGCTCTAGCTCTAGACGCAAAATGGTTGGAAGCCGAGGCGAACATATCATGAAGGTTCCTTTCCACATATGGGCAGCCTTAGTGTCTCTTTTGTTTTTCCTGCTGGGTACCAGAAGTAGCTCTGGTGCAGTTCAGCTGCAATGCTATAAATTTCTAACCCGTTACAGACTGCGAGGTACATATTTCAGACATCCCAGCCCGGGTAGTGGGGCAAGTATCTGGGCTGCTAAGGGCTTGCGTTGCACACGCTGGCCCTTTAAAACTTGCAACGTGTGGAAGCTATGTATGGGTGAAATATAGGACTGACATCGCCTCTGCTGGCTGTGTTTGACACACTCTTCCTTTTGGCGACCCCCTCCCAAAGTGCATGGTGTTTGCCCCACCCTCAGAAGCAGGAGTGCCATCAGACGTTGTGGGTTCCCTGAGTAGGCACGTACTTCTGATACTTTCTCATTGCACGTGCTGTGCTCCACCTGTTCCCTTGTCTTGTTTTGCCATCGCAGGCATTTGTTGCCCAAGTTTTTGTCCACCTTTACCTGTTTCTTGCGCGTGTCTCTTTCGATGTCGGACTCGTCCATGGAGTTCAGTCGTTGGGAGCGCCGATGGAGGCGCGCGCAGCAGTGGCAGGACCGCCGTGATGCCGACTCTGCGTGGAATGCCTCTGGCTCCTCAGACTCTTCCTGGCATGCTGACTCTTCTTGGAATGCCACTGGGTGACTGGGTGGAACAGTTCGGAGCGTGTGAATCGTTGGAGCCGCCGCCACTCCATGCCAGACCCGTCTTCATGGTCCTCGACTTTGCCTCGCTCCATGCCAGACCCGTCTTCATCCATGCCAGACCAGTCTTCATGGTCCTCGACTTTGCCTCGCTCCGTGGCCGGCACGTCTTCATGGTCCTCGGCTTTGCCTCGCTCCGTGCCGGACACATCTTCATGGTCCTCGGCTTTGCCTCGCTCTATGCCGCGTACTTCTTCATCGTCATCGACTTTGCTTCGCTCTACGCCGTATCCGACTGCTCGCTCACGCGAAGAACTTTGGCAGAATAACACACTTGCTAAGACTGTTTGCTGCCCAAAACCCTGATACATTGGTGTTTAGCATTCTGCTGCCCAACCATTCTGCAAGGAAGCCCAACGCGTTGCCCTGGCCATGATGAACGCTGCTTTCGGTCGATGCCCTGACGATGCCACTTGGAGACTCGTTGAATCCCGTGTCCCGGCATCGAACCCTTGGTTTCTCCCTGCCCAGCTTTCCCAAGACAGTCAAACATCGACATTGAAGCACCGTAGAGCTCATGCTTATAGCGTAGGGCTTGGTCTGTGGTTTGGGGTTTAGGGTTTAGGGGCGAGGGTCCGGGATTTTGGGGTTAGGGTTGAAGGTTTTGGGTTGAGGGTCGAGGGCACACCCCAAACCCCAAACCCTAAACCCCAAACCCTAAACCCGAAACCCTGTTCCTCACAACGGGGGCTGGGGGAGGGTTAGAACTCAGGCCTCGAGGCTTCCTCCATACCTGAATGGTTTGGGGTTGGGGTTTAGGGTTAGGGTTTAGGGTTTAGGGCTTAGGGGTTGGGGTTTAGGGTTTAGGGTCCAGGGGAAGCTTTAGTCAATGAATGTATCTAGGCTGCTCCTGGCGTGCGTTGCGTTTTGGGTGAAGTCCTAAACCCCAAGTCCTGAGCCCAAATCCCCCACCCCCGCAAGAAAAACTATCAGAATGCTGAAGGTGTCTTCAGCTCCTTGGCGTGGCCCGATGCTCAGCTACAAGGGCACATGAGCCATCAAGCCATAAAGCCATAAAGAGAATAGCAAGATAGATTCTCCCAATTCGGAGGCGTCTCGACTGCCTCCTTGGCGAGCTCAGCCGCCTCCCTTCCCTCCTCCTTGGCATCCTGCATCTCAGCACGCATGTGGCATGGATTCCATTCTCCTTTTTTTGGGGAGGGTTGGGGGGGGTTGTGATCGGGTGCCACTTTATGGGGCGGGCCGCCCTACCCAACCCCCGAATGTTCCCTGCAGAACTATGGACACCCCTTGACACCTCCGCAGAACCCGACGAAGAAGCGCGGCTGCCCCGCAAAGGATACTCAGAGGGCGGATAGACAGCCCACCCCATAAATTGGCGCCCCATGTGACTAGTGCAGGGGACTGACGTTCCTGAGGATGCCGAGAAGAAGAGAGTCATGGACAATGAGGCGCAGATCGAGGAGAACTACCGCATCTGTGCAAAATGGCTCAAGAAGGAGCAAATCAACCAGTTATATAGCTTGTTCGCCAAACCAGTCCTTGCTGTATCTGCGAGGACTCCGAGAGTGGCAACGGCAAGCCCAAGAAGGAGCCATTGAGCCAGTTCATGAGTCCGAAACCAGTCCTTGCTGTATCTGCGAGGACTCTGAGAGTGGCCACGGCAAGCCCAACAAGGAGCCATTCAGCCAGTTCATTAGTCTGTTTCCGAAACCAGTCCTTGCTGGCGAGGACTCCAAGAGTGGCCACGGCAAGCCCAAGAAGGAGCCATTCAGCCAGTTCATTAGTCTGTTCCCGAAACCAGTCCTTGCTGGCGAGGACTCCAAGAGTGGCAAGGGCAAGCCCGAGAAGGAGCCACTCAGCTAGTTAGTTTGTCCATGAAACCAGTCCTTGCTGCGAGTCCATGAAACCAGCGAGGACTCCGAGAGTGGCAATGGCAAGGCCACGTCGTCGGATGCAGGCTTGCCTAAAGCATAAAGCCGAAACCCTACAAATGATACCCTTAGCCGTAAGTCCTTAACTCTTAATAATCCTAAACCCTGAACCGTGGACCCTCTCGGATTTAGGGGTTTAGGGTTTAGGAAGTTAAGGGTTTAGGAAGTTTGGGGCTTGAGCTCTAACAAAAAACCTTAAACCTCAAAGACCGTCCGGCGTTTTAGGTTTTTGGGGATCAGGATTTTCACAAAATTAGGAAGGTTTGGGTTCGGGACCCTTCCGGTTCTAGGACAAAACTTAGGAGGGTTTGGGTTCGGGACCCTTTCAGTTTTTTGGAAACACTAAGCCGCAATGGAGGACATTTGGACCGCCTGGAGCGTGGTGAGCTGATCGACAGGCTTTTGATGTGAAGTGCCTACTCTGACACCCCTAAAGTTTAGACTCTAAACCCTAAACCCCACTCTGAAATCCCTAAAGCCTAAACCCCACTCGGAAACCCCTAAAGCCTAGACCCTAAACCCTGAACCCCAGCTCGAAACCCTTGACACTTACCGTGAAGCTCTACAGCCTCACGTACACAGTCGAGCAACGTGAGACGATTCCAGTCAATCGTCCATCCCTCAGCTTTGTGGCGTTCTCCGAAAGCTTTGACCCTAAACTCTGGGCACTTTCCGTCAGAAGTTACCCGAGCAATGTGAGACGATTCCAGTCAGTCGTCCATCCCTCAGCGTTGTGGAGTTCTCCGAAAGCTTTGACCCTAAACCCTAAGCCCCACTCTGACACCCCTAAAGCCTAGACCCTAATCCTAAAAGCCTAAACCCCACTCGGCAACCCCTAAAGCCTAGACCGTAAACCCTGAACCCCAGCTCGAAACCCTTGACACTTACCGTGAAGCTCTACAGCCTCACGTACACAGTCGAGCAACGTGAGACGATTCCAGTCAATCGTCCATCCCTCAGCTTTGTGGCGTTCTCCGAAAGCTTTGACCCTAAACTCTGGGCACTTTCCGTCAGAAGTTACCCGAGCAATGTGAGACGATTCCAGTCAGTCGTCCATCCCTCAGCGTTGTGGAGTTCTCCGAAAGCTTTGACCCTAAACCCTAAGCCCCACTCTGACACCCCTAAAGCCTAGACCCTAATCCTAAACCCCAGTCTGGCACCTCTAAAGTTTAGACTCTAAACCCTAAACCCCACTCTGAAATTCCTAAAGCCTAAACCCCACTCGGAAACCTCTAAAGCCTCGACCCTAAACCCTGAACCCCAGTTCGAAACCCTTGACACTTGCCGTGAAGCTCTACCGCCTCCCGTACACAGTGAAGATGAAAGCCTCGGAGACTCTGGGCACTTTCCGTCAGAAGTTACGCGAGCAATGTGAGACGATTACAGTCAATCGTCCACCCCTCAGCCTTGTGGCGTTCTCCGAAAGCTTTGACCCTAAACCCTAAGCCCCACTCTGACACCCCTAAAGTTTAGACTCTAAACCCTAAACCCACTCTGAAATTCCTAAAGCCTAAACCCCACTCGGAAACCCCAAAGCCTGGACCCTAAACCCTGAACCCCAGTTCGAAACCCTTGACACTTGCCGTGAAGCTCTACCGCCTCACCGACACAGTGAAGATGAAAGCCTCGGAGACTCTGGGCACTTTCCGTCAGAAGTTACGCGAGCAATGTGAGACGACAGCGAGAGTGCACAGGAGCTGCTTGCAAAATGTGGCCCAAAGCTATAGCCCTAAGCCCTAAACCCTAATTCCGAAGCCCTACACCCTGCATAAACCCTAAACCCCAAACGTGCAGCACATTATTCCCCGATTCCCTCCTGACCCACAGTAAGTGTGCGGGCTAGCAACTTTGTTGGGCTTGAGGTTTAGGGCTTCGGGCTTAAGGGTTTAAGGCGCCCTCAGCACCTCAGGGGTTTAGGAGCAAAGAAAAACGCACCGATCCTAAGCCCTGAAGCCTAAACTTACTAAACCTTATCCCTAAACCCTAAACCCCAAACCGAATCATCATATTTTACACAAAGGTTCCTCTTACATATATATATATATATATATATATTCCCACCCCCCCCCCCCCCCCCCCCCCGAGGGCTTTCTGCAAAGAAGGCAAGCAGCGCTTGCATGTTGCGGCCGAGGTGGATGGGCAGTTCGTCTGCCAGCAAGCGTATCTCGGGAGGAACTGGTCTCATGCAGGAACATGGATCCCACATTTGGGTTGCGGGTCTCAACAAACCCGAAACCCTCAACCCCGCTTTGCGTGCCCAGGTACCTGACAAATGTCTTTGTGGAGAGCGAGACTGATGGCCTGGACGCTGCGAACTGCAAGACGCGCTGCATTTCCCAAAAGTGCCCCTACTACTGGGAAGGCTGGGTACTGTCTGCTTGACTAAATTATTCGGTTATATATTACTGTATGATTATACTATGATGTGTTTATAGTAGTGTATTAATATATTTGCAAATTATAGGGTTTAGGTTGTGGGTTGAAGGGTATTGAACGTGAATATCGAAGCCCCATGGCACGTGGCGTTTTCTGACAGTCCCAGAGTGAAGTTGACCGAGCCATCACAGTCCCGGGCGCAGTGGACGAACATGAGGCTGCAACGCGACTGAAGTACCCTAAACCCAAAGCCCTAAAGCCCGAAGCCCTAAACCCTAAGCCCCGTAAACCCCAAACCCTAAACCCTAAAACCCTTAAACCCTAAACCCTAAACCCTAAACCCTAAACCCTAAACCCTAAACCCTAAACCCTAAACCCTAAACCCTAAACCCTAAACCCTAAACCCTAGCCCTCAAAAACAACCCAACAGTAGATCCCTGGCAGGTGAGGTCATGTCTACGAAGCAGTGCCGCCTCTACAGCCAGTGCACGGAGCTGGCCGCTGGCCTCAGATTGGGTTTAGGGTTTAGGGTTTAGGGTTTAGGGTTTAGGGTTTAGGGTTTAGGGTTTTAGGGTTTTAGGGTTTTAGGGTTTTAGGGTTTTAGGGTTTTAGGGTTTAGGCTTTAGGGTTTAGGGTTTAGGGTTTAGGGTTTAGGGTTTTAGGGTTTAGGGTTTAGGGTTTGGGGTTGGGGGTTGGGGGTTTGGGGTTTGGGGTTTGGGGTTTGGGGTTTAGGGTTTAGGGTTTATAGCGTTTAGGGTTTAGGGTGTAGGGTTTAGGGTTTAGGGTTTATGGAGGGTTTATTGTGAATCTTGGGGACCTCCATGTTTTGCGCGGGTCTGGGTGCGCCTTCTCGTCTGACGAGATAGGGGTTTAGGGATGCGAGGGATGTCTTGACTTCAGTCAAGGGATTAAGGCTCGTACCTCTAAGGTTGCACCCCTAAAGGTTCCTTGTCATAATATGCTCCTAATATGGCCCTTATGCTTCCTTAAGGATCTTTAAAAAGGTTCCTCAACACCCGAGGTACAGCCCCTAGGGAGGCTTCCTCCGAGACCTTGTTTGTTGCGCGCCCTCAGGTGCGTGAGATCGGCGTGGTGGGAAACCTGTATGGCATGTGGCTTGGCCCTAGTAATAGATTCATATAGAAATACAGGAGCAACATGTCATAACATAAGCTGATAGAATTATAGAACATACCGACAGGCCGAAGCGCGCCAAAGTGACGGTAGTGAAGTACTGTACTCCATGAAGTTTCGACCGCTGCTCGTCACACCATGACTTAGCCCTCAACCCTAAACCCTATAAACCCTAAGCCCTAAAATGGGCTTAAGAGGCACTCCTGGATGCATCCCCGAGCCCAGGTCCTATCGCAAAGCTTGCAAAGTAGCAGATGCACAGCTGCAGCTCGGCAGCGTAGTTAGGGTTTAGGTTTAGGGTTTAGGGTCTAGGGTTTAGGGTTTAGGGTTTCGGGGTTGAGGGTTTCGGGGTTTAGGGTTTAGGGCTTAGGGTTTATAGGGTTTAGGGTATGGTTCTTGGGGACTAGATGAACCCAAATTAGACGGTTTATGGTCCATATACACTAATGGGGATTTAAGTCGTATAGGGTAGGTGATCCCAGTCTTAGGGTTCAGCTGGTCCAGGTTATGGCAGGTTGTTCAGTGTGTCTTCTGCGTCCCCGGCGCCACAAAGTGTGCCGACGAATGTTGAGATTTATGAGCTGAGATGTGGAGTTTCTACGGACGGGCGTGGGGGATGAAAGGGTCCTTGCCGATAGTTCCGTTCTTTTTTGAGTCCTTGCTCGTCAAGCCTCTGGCAAGCAGTAGGCTTGCCCAATACCAACAGTTTCGACCTGAAACCCTAAACCATTTAGGGTTTAGGGTTTAGGGTTTAGGATTTAGGGTTTAGGGTTTGGGGTTTAGGTTTAGGCTGAATCCGGAGAGCTGAGACTCTCGCCTTAGAGGAGATGCTACAGAACTTGGTGCTGACCACCTTCACAGTATGAACACCTTGACCATCAACCTGACTGCAGTAGGTCTTCGAAAAATGGCAACAAAGGGAGCAGCCTAAACCCCAAACCCTAAACCCTGAACCCTAGACTCTAAACCCTAAACCCTAAACCCTAGGTTATCAGCACCAGGCGCTCGCATGTTTCACAGACTTGGGGAGGCTGGCAGGCCCTGACCGCAGTGCTGTGTGGTCCTGGATTCGCAGACATCCCGGGTAACGCTAGTGCTGGCTCAGCCCTGGGGTTTAGGGTTTAGGGTGTAGGCTTTAGGGTTCCTGTGAACCCTATAGCCCTTCTGGGACGATTCCCAGGTGCTGGAAAGTCACCAAACGCCGCTCGTTCCTTGGGGCCGGAGACGACTCCTACCAGTGCTTTCACCAGGACTCACAGGGGAGAAGCCCACCAGGCCTTGGGATGTTACCCCCCTTATCCTAGCAGCCCTTCATAGGGATTCTAGTTCCCTATATACATATAATATATATATATATATATTTTAAGGGGCTGCGCCCATGGGCGGGCAGCGCACGCAGAAGCCCGGGGCGAGCAGTTTCTAAGCATGTTGAGGCCCCTAAACTCCCTTAAAATCTCTAAGCGTTAAGTTTCTAAGCATTTTCAGGCCCCTAAACTCCCTTCAAATCTCTAAGCGTTTGAGGCTCCTAGACTCCCTTAACGTTTCTAAGCACTTTATAAGGCCCCTAAACTCCCTTTTTCCTAGCCCCGGGCTTAGACACGTCGCTTATGCCCGCCCTTTGGGGGGCATCATGGACCCGCTGATGCTCATGATGCGCGCCCTCTGGGGGCCTCCGTGGCGACGCAAAAAACCACGAAAAAAAAAAAAAAAAAAAAAAAAAAAAAAAAAAAAAAAAAAAAAAAAAAAAAAAAAAAAAAAAAACCGGTCACCCGTGCGGAACGCGGGACGTCGCTGGCACTGGAGTCCGCCTTAATTCTGCCTTTAAAGTCTCTTTAAAGTCGGTTCATTCAGGGGGGGGGGTGGGTGGGGGGGGGGTGCGGTGCGGGGGCGGGGGGCGGGAGTGGGGGGGGGTGGGGGGGGGGGGTGGGGGGGGGTGGGGGGGGGTGGGGGGGGGGGGTGGGGGGGGGGTGGGGGGGGGGTGTTGGGGGGGGGGGGGGGGAGTGGGTGGGAGGGAAGGGGGGCAGCTGGAGAGGGCGATGCACTGCAGGCTTTAAAGTGCAGTCAAGGGGGGGGGGGGGAGGTGGGTGTGGGGGGGGGTTGCGGGGGAGTGTGGGCGGGGGTTTGGGGGGGTTGCGCGGGGGTGGGTGGGGGAGTGGAGTGGGCGGGGGCCGGTGGCCTGGGGTGGGGGGGCGGTGGGGGTGGAGGTGGGGGGGGGTGGGGGGGTGGGGGGGGGGGGGGGGGTCGGGGGGTGGCGCGAGTGGGTGGAGCAGACGGAGCGGGCGGAGCACGTGGAGAGGCCGGGGGGCAGCATGGACCCTTTAAAGTCGGTTAAAAAAGTGGGTGGGGGGGGGGGGGGGTGGGGGTGGTGGCGGGTGGGGGGGGGGGGGGGGGGGGTGGGGGGGGGGTGGGGGGGGGTGGGGGTGGAAGGGAAGGGGGGCGGAGGAAGAGGGGGCGGGCATGCACTGGAGCCCTTTTATTAAAAAGTCAGTCTTTAAAGTCAGTCATCTGATCGAGTGGGGAAGGGGTAGGGGGAGGATGGAGTGGAATGGTTGGGAAGGGTGGTTGGTGGTGGGAGGGTTAGGGGCGGGAAGGGCGGGGCACGGACTGGGGCCTTTTAAAATCAGCTTAAGGTGCGGGGTTACGCCGACGCCATGGAGTCTTCACTAGCGCCTCCCCCGCTCAAAGCTGGGGTCGGCGGATATATTATATGTATACATATTGGCAGTGAGTTTTTTTTTCCGGGCTTGTAACAGGCACCGGGGGGTCCCTCCGCGACAAAGGTTTGTAACAGACGTGCCGTGTCCGCGACAACCCCCCCCGCGACAAGGCTACAACCCCCCCGCCCCCCCCGACAAGACAGCAATACCATTGAATTTTCTCATTGCCAATCTCGATGCGACCTTGATGCGTGTCTGCAGCAACTTTCACTCTCAGTCCGCGACAAGGCCTGCGACAGGGCGCGACATACCCGCGACAACCCGCGCGACTGCTCGAGCCAGCAGGTGCCCATCCGTAGGACAACCTTGAACGAGAAGCCCAGGGTTTATATTTACAGGGTTCAGGGTTTAAGGCTCTCCAGTAAAATCCCTAAACCCTTCATCCGAAACCCCAACCCTAAACCTAAACCCTTTACCCTAAACCCTTACAAAACCCAACTAAGAAAATTGGGTTCAAAGTAGCGGCGCGACAAAGGTATGAAACAACCTGCCCGCGACAAGGCTTGTAGCAGAGGGCGGGGCGGACCCCCCGCGACAACCCGAATTTTAACCCACTGCCATATTTATTTATTTATTACTTTACTTATATATATATATATATATTTAAACAATTTCCCTATGTCTATTAAGGACTGTCAGTGTAAGTATCAGTGGGAACATCCCAACCTTAAGCCCCGAAAGAGACGCTGGGCTTTCGGGGATGCCGAGCCCAGCTTTAGGGTTTCGGGTTTAGGGTTTCGGGTTTAGGGTTTAGGGTTGCGGGTTTCGGGTTTCGGGTTTAGGGTTTAGGGTTTAGGGTTTAGGGTAGCTGGAGCCCGTGGTAGGGCTTCAAGGAAACCCCAAACAAACCCTCAAACCCTCAAACCATCAAGCCGTCAAACCCTCAAACCCTCAAACACTCAAACCCTCAAACCCTCAAACCCTCAAACCCTCAAACCCTAAACCTTAAACCCTATACCCTCAAACCCTAAACCCTAAACCCTAAACCCTAAACCCTAAACCCTAAACCCTAAACCCTTCATTAGGCCCTAAACCCCCTAATCCTCTGACAGGACCTCATTGAGCAGTGCGACCAGAAGTTGATGCTGGGTGGCCTTGGGGTCAGCGCCTGCGGTGGCTGTGAGTATGCCGCTTGGTTGAACATTTGATTTGGGGTTTAGGGTTTAGGGTTTAGGGCTTAGGGCTTAGGGTTTAGGGTTTAGGGTTTAGGGTTCAGGGTTTAGGGTTTAGGGTTTCGGGTTGTAGGGTTGACATGTTGTCCTTGCCGTGGACTCTGCCGATATCGATCTGCCAAGGCGCCGGTGAAAGGGAAGCAGATCCTCGACGCCGACGGAGAATGCATGACGGCCAGCACCAGCGGCGGCAGGAACGTGCTGCCCGGCCGAGAGCGCCCTCAGTCCGTTAGGGCCGAATGAACCCTAGAAAGGCTGAGGGCTCATATTCCTAACAGGGGTCATAGTAGTGTAGGGCATGTGACCCCAATTTTTAAGGTTCATTTGGTCCCCAAGATTTCTCTAGATTTTTTTGGGTCAAGGGTTTTTAGTGCTTTCCCCCCCCCCCCCCTGGGGATCCATTTCAAGCATAGCTGCCATCTTGTGCTTTACGGTCCCTGTCATAGAGAGGAATATTTAAGTCCCAAAGCCCTGAGCCCGTCTTTCCCAAATCTTAAGCCCTAAGCCGGCATACTCATAGGGTTTTGATTGTAGGCTTACAGCGTCTGTTGCGGGGAGTAAAGTCGAAGAGGGCAGGCATGCCAGGAAAGTCACCACATCTTTGCCGGGTTCAGGGATCAAGGGTTTAGGGAGATGAATATCCTGGGGTCAAGCACACTGTCATTCTGGCCCGACACGGTGAGCGAGCGGCGGTTGCAAGACTTAGCGGCTGGGTGTTTCCAAGCCCCCAAACCCCAAAGCCTAAACACCGCAACCCATACACGTCCGAACCTTCTAACAGCAAATCTAGACCTAGGGTTTGGGGTTTGGGGTTTAGGGTTTAGGGTTTAGGGTTGCAGTCCCAGAAAAAATGCCTGCAGCACAGCCTGCAAACTGCCTCTGATACGCGCTGTTGAGGCTTCGGGTGGGTTGTTCCCCCTAAAATACCAACAGCCATGAATACCGCACCCCACCCGAAATCCCCTATTCAGGACGGACAGCACAAAGGGGGGGGGGGGGAACATCCCAAGGCTTCAGGGCTTAAGGGGTTCGGGAGATGGCTTTCACCAAAACATTGCTTAGATTGTTCGTCATTGCCCCGTCTCCCAGGTATGTGGCGGCCTGCAACAATGGCGACAATCAGAAGCCTCTCGACGCACGTTAAGAATCTTCATGGCTCTCAGGTCACTGCCGCGAGTAGCGTGAGCCCTGTTGTGGCCTGGTCCTAGCGGAGCGTGTGTGTCAGAAGTCTTGGGGTCCTGGGGTCCTTTTCAGAAGGGTGGAGAGAGACACGCCCTCAACCCGAACGCCCTAAACCCGCTTCTTGGTCAACACAAGTTCGCTCAATGTTCCAAGGACGTTTGGGTATGAGCGGCCTTTAGGGTTTAGGGGCTTAGGGGGGGTTTCGGGGGTCTTCGGGGGGTTTACGGGGTTTGGTTTCGGAGATTTAGGAGGGCTTAGGGGGTTTTGAGGGGGGTTTCGGTGGGTTTAGGGGGGTTTCGGGGTCTTGGCCTTGACATTCCCTACTAATTGCTTAAGAACCCCGAAAAAATATAGAATATTCTTCCTTACTAAGGGTAATATAGGGATTATCATTTTTCATTCTCTTGGGGTTCTTAAGCAAATAGTAGTAAACCCTAAAGAGTCTCTAAACCCTAAACCCTCAACCCTAAACCCTAAACCCTAAACCCTAAATTGCTCTCTTCCAGGTGGTACTTCGATGGCGAGAACTTGAAGTCGGAAGCCTTTACATCGAGTTGGTGCCGCGTCTGCTTTTTTAGGGTTTAGGGCTATTAGTTTTTAGGGTTGTTTAGGGTCTTAAGGGTTTAGGGTTTAGGCTTCAGCAGCTCATGTACCACTAGTCAAGCAGCTTTGCAAGCGACCGGAAACTACCCACCCGCCCAAAGAATCCCATAACATGAAGAAACTCAAGGGTCTTCACTAACCCTCTACGCCCTGAAGCCCGAAAAACCCCAAGCCTTAAGGCCGTGAAACCCTCAACCCCAGCTCTGAACCTTTGAGGCCCTTGAGGCCCTGAAACCCTAACCCCCCAGGCCCTGAGGTCCTGAACCCTACACTCCGGCCCTGCGGGCCGGAATCCTCAACCCGAGGCTGACGCCCTGAAATCCTCAACCTCAGGCCCTGAAAATCTGAAACCCTAAACCCGGACCCTGAAACCCTAAACCCATGCCTTATAACCCCCAGGCCCCTGAGGCCCTGAAACCCTAAACCCCAGGCCTGAAGAACCTCAGTCTCTTGAGGCTCTGAAACCCCCCAGGAGGGTGGTCAGGCGTCTCACGAATGGGGCGTCCGCCGCCTGAGGAGGCCAGAGGCCCTCAGGGATAGGGGACCATTGGGGGGGGGGGGGGGGGGGGCCGAAATTGAAAAAATATGCGGAACGCGGGCGCGTACCTGGTTCTTTCAAGGGGCTACTTAGGTATAAAGGGACTAGATAAGGAAAATAGCGTTTTTGAGGAGAACTAGATTAAGGGTCCGTTCTGGGCCCTAAATCCTAAACCCTAAACCCTAAACCCTAAACCCTACGTAGGCCCTAAAACCCTAAACCTAGGGGTCCCTCCTTTCCCCCCTTTACTGAGGTGCTTGGACATGGACAAGATGGCGCATGGCAACGTTTATATGGCCAATTGCCACACCCACAACAACCAGAAGTGGCAGCTCAGCGCTGGGATTTGTTGGGTTTATATAGGGTTTAGGGTCTATTGGGTCTATAGGGTCTAGGGTTTATATAGGGTTTCGGGTTTATATAGGGTCTAGGGTTTAGGGTTGCGGAACACACTGGGAATGTGGGATTTCGAGATGGGCAGGGGGGGGGGGGGGGGGGTACCTGTTTCCCATCCCCTAAACCCTAAACCCTAAACCCTAAATCCTAAACCCTAAACCCTAAACCCTAAACCCTAAAACATGATGTTGCTTCGCAGTTTTGTGCCCACGAGGACAGGCATGATAGCTCCGCACATCGGCTCGAAGCTAAACTTTGGATATGGTTTAGGGTTTAGGGTTTAGGGTTTAGGGTTTAGGGTTTAGGGTTTAGGGTTTAGGGTTTAGGGTTTAGGGTTTAGGGTTTAGGGTTTAGGGTTTAGGATTGAAAGTCTGAAAAGGAGGCTCGTGGTGACCCCTGCTAGCAATCTCCATTCACATCCCCCAGCTTCACGTGCAAAGGCATGGCATTTATTGGAGGTTGGCAGATCTTGCCTGGCTACAGACCAGCAAAGTCCGACTAGAAAAGTGAGAGGCCATGATGCGCGGGAACAGGCTTTCGTCCAGCATCCAGATCCTGAGCGGGGCGACGTCCATGAAGAAGTTGGCTTAAGACCGCTCAACTCACCTCTAAACCCTTACGCCCTTCAAAGGGGTTTAGGGTTTAGGGTTTAGGGTTTAGGGTTTAGGGTTTAGGGTTTAGGGTTGAGGGTTTAGGGAACCCTACAGCCTTCAAGCCCACATCCCCTAAACCCTAAACCCTAAACCCTAAACCCTAAACCCTAAACCCTAAACCCTAAACCCTAAACCCTAAACCCTCTAAGCGCTAAACCCAGGTATTTCGTTCCGGCTCATGGTCACTTGAAGTCGCGGGATGGGAATGGGTGCGTCGATTCCCTCCATTCCGGCCACAAGAATATGAGCCTTGGACGTTGGGAACCAAGTGAACCCTACAAGGATTTGGAGATTGGGGCTTAGGGTTTACCATACCAAGATAGGAATTATGGTAGAATAGGGTACTTGGAGGTTCATGGGTACTTATATCTAAGATTCATTGCACATACCCCCTGGGCATACCCTTAAAATAAAGTAAGGGGTATTGTAAAGTCCTTCGTTATATGTTCGTTTTTAGATCTTAAGGGGTACGTGAGTGGGGTATGTTTAATTCTTCTTAAATGAGGCGTAGCGTTAGAACCGGGGTAACGATGCTCATAACCTTGTTTAGGGTATTTCTATCCCCACTTCTAAGTACCCATGAACCTTCAAGTACCCTAGTCTGCCATAATCTTGGTTCGGAGCTCCTTTCGTTTTGCAAGTGAGGCCGGGGTTGGTCTTGCTGTGGCTTCAGGGTGGCGGCAGAGGCGTTCCGAAGCCCCTAAACCCTAAACCCTAAACCCTAAACCCTAAACCCTTCTACCCGATAGGGGTTCAAAAGGGCTTTGTTGGTCAGCCGGCCAGCTTGAGCTACAGGGACCGCAGGGCTTCGGGTTCGTGGTTTAGGGTTTAGGGTGTAGGGTGTAGGGTTTAGGGTGTAGGGTGTAGGGTTTAGGGTTTAGGGTTCAGGGTTCAGGGTTTAGGGTTTAGAGTTTAGAGTTTAGAGTTTAGGGTTTAGGGTTTAGGGTTTAGGGTGCGGGGTGCGGGGTGTAGGGTGGAGGGTGGAGGGTGGAGGGTGGAGGATGGAGGGTTGGGGTTTATAGGGTTGGGGGATGTCTCCATGAGGGCAGCTAGATTCGTCGAGCTCAGATACGTCGGCAACTGCCCATGGAGCGATAAGCTGCAGTGGACTTGGCGCCAGACTGTGTCTTGTTCTGTTTCAGACTTAGGGTTTAGGGATTCGGGGTGAGGGATTCGGTGTCAGGGCATGCAAAAACTTGCATGACATCCCGGGATGATTTGGGGCGGGAAGCTATGGTAGAATCATAAAGGAACCACAAGGAAGTACTGTTCTTTGTTATTCCGAATCCTATATTTGCTCGAACATCTTTCCAAAACTCCGCCCCCCCCCCCCCCCTGCCTGATGAGAGTCTCTGAAAGCCGTCGCTCCGAAGTCGGGAGTTTAAGGCAAGACGTCGACCTGAAGGTTTAGGGTTTAGGATTTAGGGTTTAGGGTTTAGGGTCGAGGATTTAGGGTTTATGGTATAGGTTATATGTATGTATATATACATACATACATACCTACATACATACATACATACATGCATACATACATACATACATATGTGCATATATGTATTCTCCACATCACTTCCATGCCTGGGCGTTCCTGAGTACATGTCGCT